GTCTGTCAGCCCACGGTTGGTAGTTGCAAGGAAGGATATCACGGGTAAAGTGCTGGCGAAAAGGATGTGTGGAGACTTTCGGGAGCTGAACGAAGATCACTAGCCCGGACAGGTACCCTATGCCAACCGCAGAGGACATCTTTGACCGCCTGGAAGGCGCCATCATCTTCACTACCCTATTCCTACGACAGGGATTCAACCAAATAGCTATCAGGGAAGAGGACAAGCGGAAAACAGCGTTCCACGGGGTGGAAGGGTTATACGAGTACAACGTGATGCCCTTCGGGATACGTAACGCTTCAGCAGTGTTTCAGCGAGCTATGGATCAAGTGCTAAAGGGGATCCCTGCGGCTGCGTGCTACATAGATGACATACTAATTTTCAGCAGCACTGAGGAGCAGCATGTTCGAGACCTGAAGCAGACACTGGAGGCGATAGCGGCTGCAGGGCTGACGTGCCATCCAGAAAAATGCAAGATAGCTAGGCACACCGTGGCTTACCTGGGATTCGAAGTGAAGGGGGGTCGGCTGGCGATACAGGAGGCAAAGGTTAAGGTGCTGGAGAATTTGGCAGCACCTAAGGACAAGACAGGGCTACGGGCAATACTCGGCTTCCTGAACTATTACAGGAAGTTCGTACCGAACTTCAGTCGCCGCGCCTATGTGCTGAATCAGCTGCTGAGGGAAGGGAGGAGTTGGCAATGGGGAGAGCTGGAAGAAGCGGCAAGGCAGGACCTGTTGGAAGCAGTAAGGACCGGAAATCTGCTGCAAATACCGAGGGCAGACGCTCCTTTCATATTAGACACCGACTGGAGCAGTACAGGAATGGGGACAGTGCTCTGTCAGGAGATAGAAGGAGAAGAGAGAGTGGTAGCCTTCGCTAGCCGCAGCTGCAGCCCAACCGAAGCTAACTACTGTTCGTACGAAGGGGAGGGCCTGACAGCTGTATGGGGGATCACACACTTCAAGGTGTACCTGCAGGGACGGCACTTCACGCTGGTGACAGATCATCAGCCGTTACTGTGGTTGATGACCAATCAGGAGCTGACTGGGAGGAATGCACGTTGGGCCATCAAGCTGCTGGGATTTGACTTTGAGATTCGGCATCGACCGGGGAAAACGCTGCAGCATGCAGATGGGTTATCGAGGAACCCGCCGCCGATGCAGCCAGTAGCACAGCTGGCAGCCATGGCTCAAGTTGCGGCAGGGGCCTGTGGGCAAAAGAAGGGAAAGAAGCGGCAGGTGGATATATGGGAAGACGAGGAGACCATGAGTTGGATTAAGGGCGAGCCGCTAGAAGAGGAAGGTGTGAGCGAGAGAGCTAGGGCCCGAGGGCAGCATTACATGTGGTTTCAGGAGCAGCTGCAGCTGAGAACCAATGAAGGTTGGAAGGTGGTGCCGCAGCCACAAGAGAGGGCTAAGATCATGGGGAACGTGCACGCGAAGCTGGGACACTACGGTATAACAAAAACGCGGCAGCTGCTGAGCACCATGTACTGGTGGGCGAGTATGGGAAGGGACGTGGCAGGACTAGTAGCGAACTGCGAGGCATGTCAGCGGAATAAGGCAAGGCTGGAGAAAGAGAGGGATGAGCTGCATTCTTTACCAATCCGCGGGTTAGGCTATAGGTGGTCGCTGGACCTCGCAGGAGAACTACCGCTGTCGAAAGGAGGGAAGCAGTACATTCTGGTGATGGTCGAGCACACGAGCAAGTGGGTGGAGGCGCGAGCGTTATCCAGCAAGAGTAGCGCACTGATAGCAGACGCGTTTGAGGAGCTGGTGATCACCAGGTATGGGGCATGCGGTGAGGTACTTACAGATCAGGGCACGGAGTTTCAAGGGAGCTTTGATGAGCTGCTAGAGGAGATGGGTATCACGCACAGGGTCACTTTGAGGTATCACCCACAATCAGACGGACTGACCGAAAGGCTCATACAGACTCTGAAGAAGGGACTTCGGGCTTACAGTGAGACTCACAAAAGGAGCTGGGACCGGGACCTCTGGTGGGTGCTGGCTGGGTACCAGTTTGCAAAGCAGGCGGCGCTGAAGAACTTATCGCCCTATCATCTGCTGTAAGGACGGGACCCAGTGCTGCCCATCGATGCACCGAAGCTGCTTTCCGCGATTATCGAGGCAGACGAGCCGAACCTGTGGGCTGAGTTGGCACACAAAAGGGCGAAGTATTTGAAGGAGCTGACCCCGGCAGCATTGGATAACCTACACGTGGCGCAGCTGCGGGACGCAAGGCGGTATCAGCAGCGTAAAGCAGCAGGATGGGAGGGAAGGGAGACCAGGTTCCCATTCCCATCATCCCACTGCCGTGTTCCCACTGTTATCAGGGAGGGGCTAGAAGGGAAGGAGGAGGAATGAAGCAGGAAGGAACGGGGTGACGTTGCCAGGCTTACAGATGTGCCACCTTCCATTGCCATACCTTCATTTTGTCACTTGTCCTGCCACCTTCCATTGCCATTGTTCATATATATTTTCCATTTTCACATATTTTTGTATTTTCAGTCAGCCAGTTCTCCTGTTAGCTTCCCCATTGTCCCTTATCCAGCCAGCTTGATGGTTGTGCTCATACAGTCTGGGATGATTTGAGGTGGGATGAGGTGATGGGAGTGTGAGATGGGATGAGGTGATGGGAGTGTGAGATGGGTGAGGTGATGGGAATGTGAGATGGGATGAGGTGATGGGAGTGTGAGATGGAATAAGGTCCATTAATTGCATAGCCGCTGTGGTGCTGGGGAGCACACATGCCAAGGCACCAATGCAATGGGAACTCCATGCTTCACATCTCCTTTCCATTCTCATTCTTCCATTATCTTTCTGCTCTACATCCCCCATACCATTCGTCCCAGTAACTTCTTATTTGTCGTTCCCACTGTCATGTCTTTTTGTCCTGCCAGCTTGTCATTGCGTTTTCTCAGCCAAGTTGTCATGTTGAGCTGTCATGCAAGCCTACCAAAAGGACTGTCATGCAGCCCTTTCGTATTCAAACCCCCAACCAACCGGTCATTGCCATCCTAGGGCAACCCCCGTTCCTATTTTCTAGTAAAGCTGTCAGTTGCCTTGCCCGGTTCTTACTTAACCCCCTTTCCTTCTTATGCGTTGCATTGGCCATTGATATGTTTTTTAGACAACTGCAATCACCACTTGCCCAAAATTTTCTCATTTGTTGGATTTCCGTTGTCATTTTCGTTGCCATTTTCGTTACCATTTCCGCTACCGTTTCCCCTTAGTCCAGTGATCCTTCGTTGATGGGATTGCTGGATTGCCATTGCCATTTTCCAATCATCCTTCCTTCTCGTTGTTCTTTCCAGATTCTCATTTGTCCAGGCTTGCCATTTTTCCAATCAGCTTGGCTCCACGTCACACTGCCATCTCTTTCCCTGCCAAACTTTAAATGGCATCTCGTTTACTGGAATTCGCATTGCCATTCTCCTATCTAGTGCCATTCTCATTGTAATTTTCAGGTCCTTGCATCGAATCAATCTCCATTGAAGTCTTCACTAATGTTAATTGACCAGCTTTCTGTTGGTATTTTCCCATACATTGGCCATTTCCGTTCTCGTTTTCCCACACGTTTAGTGGAGGAGAGCAGCATGCAAGGACAGAGGGGAAGAGTAAGGGGAAGAGTAAGGGGAATCGTGGGGTGGTTGATTTACACGAGAGAGGGAAACAGTTCGTTGATTTATTATCTTTTCGTGAAATGCATTCGTTGTTTCCATAAAACCCCCATCGTCAATGCTCATCTCCCTTTGAAGTTGCAATGTTGTGAAATGAAACATGCTTGGTTAATGCATTTTATCAGGTTGCTGATTCAGAGTGTGACTCGAAAATTGAATAACGCATGCGTCTGTAATTTCTAAATTCCAAAATGGTGTGACCTACAAGCACAAAATACGGTACTCAAAACCAGGTGCACCACGCATTTTAAAATATCTGTTCGACTTAAATAAAGGATAATTTTGCTGAACTGATGGTATACAGTATTTCTTAAAGGTTCTGTAGTCAAAACGCAATTGCACATAGAGAACCGTTTTTATCTCGTTTTCATGCCAACATTGGGACTTCACAAGCCTTCCGAGGAACCCTAGTTCCTCGAGACTAGTTTGCTTGAGACGCCGAGTTCTACTTCGGTGCTGGGAACCGTCCGATCTGTGAGATCCTAGCTATTCCGTGAGTGCGCCACGTCGTAGTGCGATCCGATCTGGCCTCCATCTAAATCGCGTTCGTTGATTGCTGGATTGATTCCAGGTCGTTGACGGTGACGAAACGGAACTAGAGCCATGGCAGCCTCGAGCATACCTTGGTTCGTCACGCATAGGAACCCCACATTCAGTCAACCGAGAGAAGCGTGGTGCTTCCGCCGACGAATCCCCGACTCATCAAGCAGCGACCTTGACGGACAAACGGCTCGACTTGTTTTAGGGCAGCAAAAATCGCGGATTTCTTGCTGCCCAGAGTCGAGATGTCCCTGGGTCAAAGAGCCGCGACAAATCGCTGGTTCAGCGGCGAGCTTGACGGAAGTGCGATTCGATTTCAGTTCGGGCAGCCGAAACGCTGAGATTTTGCTGCCCAAATTCGACTTGGTCCTAGATGAACGAGCCGCGACAATCTCGTCCGGCTGTGCCGAACCTCGAGGCTATGCTTGGAGCATTCGTTTCGGACAGCTTGCCATTGGCTGCTCAACCCCTCCGTCCATTCTCCTCCAATCACAAGACAGAGCACGCCTTTCCCGGAATGAACTACTATCGCTATGGGCAACAGACCTGCTCTCCCCCGTCTACCCACCACCGTTCCTTCTCTCCACCCGAGCTCCACCCACCTTTCCGCCTTGGAGTTGTCGTGCATTACTAACACCACAAAGGCACTCGTCATTCTCATTCATTCCACCACACCCGTTCGAGTTATAACTTGCTTCTGATAGCTACCACCTGGTTTCAACTCCCGGTTCTTGAGACTTGTCATTTCCCGTTCGCTTAGCCTCCCGCTCGTACAATGGCCGCGCGGAACGCCTCAGTTATCCAATTCTCGAGCCCCTCAATTGATTACGAGTTCTGGAATGACTTCAGCGAAGAAGAATGCACGTGGCTGTACGCGCCGCTGACCTCCTTGGGCCTAGATCACGAGTTCTGGAACGATTTCAGCGAGGAAGACTGCACATGGCTGTCTGGCCCGCTGGACTTCCCGGCGCCTGCAGACACATCCATCGACCATGCGTTCTGGGAGGACTACAGCGAGGAGGAGCAGACGTGGCTGTACGTCCCGGGCGTTCCCTTTTGCGAACCCGTTGTGACCCTCACGCTCGGAGCTGCAGCTGCTGCCAGCCACACTCTGACCAGCAGCAGCAGCCGCAGCAACGGTACCAGCAGCATCAGCAGCGACGGCGACGACAGCAGCATCGCTAGCGTTGCCAGCAGCAGCACTGTCGGCAACAGTATCATTCGCAGCAGGAGCCTCGGCAGTAGCAGCAGCAGCAGCAGCAGCAGCAGCAGCAGCGGCAGCGACGGCAGCAGGTCGAAGCGTGGCAGCAGCGCAGAGGCGTGCATGAGCAAGAGGCGGCAGCAGCGGCTGCACGCCGTTGCGGTGCGCGTGGGGCGGTTGAACGAGGACGAGCAGAGCACTGCGCGCTCCCCCCGTGCGTCGCTGGGCATCTCCCCGCTGCGACCCACCAAGCCCGTGACTCAGCCGCGCAGCAACACGTCCGTGAGTCAGCCGCGCAGCAACACGCCCACGCCCACGCACGTCATGGGTGCACGCGCTGCTGTCACCACCATTACGAAGAGTGCTGCTGTCAGCAGCGCTGCAGTTAAGACTGCTTCCGTGAAGAGCGTTGCTGTGAAAAGCGTTCCTGTGAAGGCCGCAGTTTCAGCAGCCAAGGGAACGCGTGCATCTGCAGCTGCACCAGCCAAGGCTGCTGCCAAGAGTGTTGCTGTTAAGAGCAGCCCAGTGGGGTCGGTGGCAAAAGCGGCAGGAGAGAAAGTGAGGGAGCAGGGCAATGGGAGGGCAGCACACACGGCGGTGCGTGCAGCAGCAGCAGGGAAGGCGGCATTGGGAAGAGTGGAGGCAGCAGGAGGGCGTGCAGCAGGTTTGGGCTCAGGTTCAGGGCGTGCTGGCAGTGGTGCGAGTGACATCCATCAGCCTGGGCAGAGCAGGGCAGCGCACACGGCTGCAGCGGCTAAGGCACCCATGCAGGCTGCGCCACACAGCCCTCGCAACCCGGCTTCTGCAGCCGCAGCACTGCCGGCCACTCGCATTCCCAAGCCACGCCTTGCAGCATCCCAGGGAAGCAGTGCACGGTAGCAGCTTAGGAAAGCAGTGAATGGTGAAGCGGCAGCAGCAGCACTAGCAGTTGCATCATCTGTGGTAGTACTTGTAACAAGCAGATCCTGAGCCATTTCCGAGGTATGTGGAGGGAGTTGGTGCGGGTCGGTTGAGCATGGCTGGTGGGGGCTGGTGGCAGGCGCATGGCGGGACTTACCCCTTTTTGCACCCTGCTTGCAGGGTGTTGTGGGAGAGATGGCAGGAGAGGTGGAGGCATGTGGTCAGCTTGAGGGCGGCCTGTGGGGAGGCTGGTGGATGGGCATGGTGATGAATCTGCTGCAACTGCTACCATTCCACTATATATACCTTAGAAATTCGTTCTTAGTTTAGATTCATTGTGTTCCTAGCATTCTGTTATCATATATATTGCAAAGGTCATGGTGTCATTCCCTTGTACTAGCTGGTGTTGGCTGGAGGGGAGGGTGGAACGGTTTGAAGTTGGGGCGTTGCTGTTGTCAACTCCCTATTGCCATTCTGACCCCCCTGGTGTTCCCAAAATAGCCCAACACTCATCTTGAACCATCTTACCATCACTTTCTTGTTGCCGCTCTTCTCTCACTGTCGGATCCCCATTGCCGTTTTTCCCATCACATGATCCCATTGCCGTTTTTCCCATGACATGATCTCATTGCCGTTTTTCCCATGACATGATCTCATTGCCGTTCTTCCCATGACATGATATCATTGCCATTCTCATGACATGATATCATTGCCGTTTTTCCCTGACATGATCTCAATGACACCATCCTCTGCTATCACGCTCCCATTCTCGTGCTTGCACTCTCACCATGCCACGGTCATGTCATGTTCCCATTGTCATTTTCAAACAGCCATTTTCGCATTGTCATCAACCCGTTTTCATCCCCCACCATCATTCTTCCACGGTATTAGCTGCCTTAAGAATTCTCTCAATCAGAGTTACTTACAATTACCCTCTGCTGGTTTTGCCATTGTCATTTTCCTTTTTCCTATTACCTCATTGCCAATTTTCTATTGTTTCTTCATTCCTCCCTCTGTCAGTTCTTTGTGACGATTTCCCTTTTGTTAATTTCCATTCAGACAGATTTACAAGACAGATATCCTAGTCAATTTTCCCATTCAAGTTTCCCAGTCAGATTAATCAGTCAGATTATCAGTCAGATCTCCCAGTCAGATTCTCCAGACAGATTCCCCAATCAGGTTCGCCAGTCAGGTTCCCCCTTGTCGGTCTCTTTTTTATGATTTCCCTTCAGTCTGGTTCCACTCAGTCTGATTCTCCTCAGTCAAATTCCCCGATCAGGTTCTTCTCATTTATAATACCCACTGTTCCCACCACCATGTGTTCTGACCAGCCTTCTCTGTCATTGCCTTGCATGTGAGCTGTCCCAAGAAAACATGATATCTCTCCCTCCTTTTTTTTTCCCCGTCAATCTCCCATTGCAATCGTCTGCTCTGCAATCGCCCATGCACCCTCTGCTGAGTCCTTTCAAATGCCACTTCTCCTGGCCTTTTCACTTGTCTAATCAGGTTCTTACTGCCATTCATCTTGCCAAGTTCCCATCACCACTTTTCAAGTCGATTTCTCATACCATTCTGTACAACCTGGTTGCCATTGCCAGGTTCAAGCCAACTTGTTATTGCCATTTTCCCTGCTTCTTTCCCCATGTCTCTTGGTCGTTGAATTCTCATCGCTATTTCCCACCCAGATTCCCTCACTGCAACGTGCAATCGCCATCGCCAGCTGTCAAGTCAACTTCATATCTGCTTTGCCAGTTCATAACCCATTGCCATCCGCCCATTGCCTGCCTCTGCTCGCTCATGCATGCATGGGCCGCACACGCTCGCCCATCCACCTGCGCATCACCCGAGCACCCATCTTGCCCCCCCATCCTTTCCATTGCCTGCCTGCCTGCCATACCTGCCATGCCTGCCTGCCATGCACACGTGGCACGATAGCATGATTCATTGTCATGATTCCAACATCATTATATTTCTATCGTCATTGCAAGGTAATGTTCCCGCTGCCATGCTCCCGTTCTCATTTCCCCACAGCCATCTAGCCATGGTCCTCAGTTCATTCTTATCCCCCTAGACCTCATGCCATCTTTCTTTCCGTTTCTGTGTTTACGCTTCCTACTGCCGCCTCTTTATTGTAAGTCTTCCATTACCTTCAAACGTGTGTCGGTCTTAACTTTCTATTGTCAATTTTCTGCTCTCGCTTCCTCTGATTGCACCAGCATGCCACTTGTTCCGCTGTCTTGCTCTCCATGCCACATAGCCTCACCCACCCAGCAGCACCATATGGGGGCATCACAAGCCTCTTTGCACTGTGGCCATGCCTGTCCATGTCTTGTACTGGAAGACTTCAAGGGATGCTGCCAGTCACTCAGCATCACTTGCCCTTATCCTCTTTCACACAAGGATAAAAAACCTCTACGTGCCTTGCATGCGTGTTTTCCCCATTCTAGAGCCTGGCTTGTAGAGCCTTGGGTTTGTGTGACCTGTACTGCATCTGCAACAACTACATCCCTGTATGGAGTTGTCTTGTGCAACCAAAACAAGGCTTTTAGCTACGAGCATGGCCAAGTTAAGGTCACATCTTTCAAGCAATTTGCACACGTATTTGTCTGGTGATGCCGTTACAGGTTTTTTAGTGAGTGTGCACAGCAATTATGTTAGAATATTCTTATAAGGTAAGAGTCCTACGTTATTTGGTTCAGCCACCGTACTGCACCGCACCCCAGCCCCGAGCACGTGCCTCATCGGCAATTTAGCTGCAGCTGCTGCCTGTCCTCCCTCTGCCCGTATGCAGCCCGTAGCGCCATCAGCAGCCAGCTCATTGACGATCAACCCTACAGAACCAGCGATTCGCACGCCTCCCGCCGACCAGCTCGCAGTTAGCTGGAACTCCGCAGCTTAGCGATTTACCGGCTCGGCGCGGCTCATCGTTTGAACTGCTTGGCGGGGCTCAGCGCGGAGTAGCAGCGGAGCGGGAAATGGAGAGTGCGATGCGGACAACGCGGAGAGCGCAGCAGAGTGGCAGCAGCGACACGCCCACGCGGAGAATCAGGCTTGCGCGGTTTCAAGGGAAGGAAGGTTGAGGTGTGCCCCGCAAGCGCGTTGGTGTGAAGCGTCGCTTGCGCGCGCGGGGTGTTTCGACACGTCGAGCGCACCTCGTGGTAACCCGCACGATAGGATGCGCGCTCGCGCTTAGACGCGCTTCCCCTTTCCAAGCACCTCGCGGCATGCCATGTGCGTACCCCAACGAATCCGATGACTCGTCCCCGTCCGTCTCTTGCCTTGTGCGCACCAATCCTCCCCCCGCCTTTCTCCTCACTAGTATCCGCGTGGGGATCTGGGCGGGGGGGGCGGGGGGATCGCGGAGGCGAGGATGGAGAGCATCGCGCACATTCCCGTCCGTGTCGTCGCGCACTCGCACCGCCCACCTCCCCTTGGTTATCCGCACCGCCTTCGCGCAGTCTTGCCTTGTCCGCAACCCCCCCGCGCTCTCCGCGTGACACACGGCTGCTTTCGGTCCGTAGCCTCGTCCGTTGCGCGCGCCGCCCCATCCCCGCCCCCGCCTGACGTCACGAGCAGCGCGGGTTTGCGCGAGCGCGGGGACTCGGCGGGTGGAGGCAGAAGGTGGTTGAAGCAGGGCGGGGAGCGCGGAGGGGCGGGTGGGAACGTGCGACGACGGCGGGGCGGCGAGCGCGGAAGAGTGGTGTTGAAGCGCGGATGTACGGTGGCGGCGCGGCGCGGCATCCCGTTACAAGCGGCCTCGATTGACCACGTGGTGACGCTCCCCAGGCACGTGGGAAGGGAAGCGGGGATGGGCACAAAGGGGGATGGGCAGCGGAGGGGGTGCTGACAGTCGTGCTGTGCTGGCACCCGTGGCAGCACAGTCAGCACAGGCGGCAAAAGGCGCTGCTGCTGCAATCTCCGCGCATCCCTGTGTCCCTCACCCCCCCTTCACTCAGCCATGCTCTCGTATTGCCATCCGCCCATTGCCATCCCCCCATTGCCATCCCCCCATTGCCATCCGCTCATAGCCGAATCCTTCCTCTGTCATTTCCTCCTCCTGCCATCCTCTGCTCCCTCATGCATGCATGGGACGGACATGCTCACCCATGCATCTGTCCATCATCCCACCTTCCATCTCGCCTCCCCAGGCCTTTCCATTGCATGCCTTCCGATTGCATGCCTTCCGATTGCATGCCTTTCGATTGCGGGCCTGCCACTGCATGCCTGCCATGCACACGTGCCACCATGGGGGAACCACTCTCACACCCTCTCAGCCATGCCACCTGCCGTCTCCCATCCCTGGCCCTTCCACTCACCTCGCCCATTCCCTCCGCATAGCATGCCCCCCCCATGCTCTGCTCTCCGTGCCTTCCTATGCCATATTCTCACTTTTTATGAGCGCAGCAAGCATGCCCTCCCACCCTCTCATGCTCCCACCCTCCACCCTCCCAACCCTCCACTCTCCCACGCTCCCACCCTCCCACCCTCCCACCACTGACCACGCCACCAGCTCGTGGTTCCGCCAGCATGCACCGCCTAGCTCCCCTCTGCTCGTACCATCTGTGCCCTCCAAGCGCCGTGCGGCCCGCCTGCTCGTCACTCCCTCTCTCCTTCGTCTTCCTTCCTCATCGCTGTGGACTGCACTGCATGCATGCATGGCACCCACAGAGTGGACAGGATTGCTTGCTCGCGCTGCTTGGCATGGACATGGAGTTCCCACCCACGCTCTCACTTTCTCAAAAATCGCTCGATTCAATGCCTGCCTACCAGTCAGTGACTCCCACGCACTTATCAACAAGCAATCACACACATCCCACCTTTCACTTTCCTCTTCGCCATTTCCCTCACCAGCTCGCCCTCTTTCCCCATTCCCCATTCGCTCCCCCGTTTCCCATTCCTGCTTCCCGCTTCCGCCTTCCGCTTTCTGCCTCCCCCGTTTCCCCTTCCTTTTCCCCTCCCCATCCCTCCTCCCCCTTTCTACCTTCCCCCCTCCCTCGTCTCCCCATTCTCCGTTCCCTTTTCCCTCCCCGTTCCTCCTCCCCTTTTTCCTTTTCCTGTCCTCCTCCCACTCCCCCCTGCCCCTTTCCCCATGCCCTGTCCTCTCCAATTGTTCTTCCCCTTCCCCTTGAAGCCTATACTCGCTCGCCTGCAGGAGTCCGGCACGCAGCTCGCCATGGGCCTCACAAGTGACTCGCCTCCCTGAACTGAGTATGTGAGTGAGGGGGGGAGGGTGGGGGGACCTGGGAGTGCGGCGGGGATGAAAGGGAGAGGGTGGCGGGGGGCTGTGCCATGTCAATCACATGAGGCTGCATGAGAGGGCGGGGATTGGGAGATTGAGGAATGGTGGGAGGGGCGAACGAGGGGTGGATGGGTGGTGCATCGAGGTGGGACTCTGTCAGCCGGCCGAGCAGCTCGTGATTTGGTATCTCCGTGCATGTGCGCGCCAGCACAGGTGGATTTCTAATATTGTCTCAAGTGCATAATCATTCGGCTGTCCAAGACTGCACTTGGCACTGATTCATTCCAGCCCTTTCTCTCTCTTCACCCTGCCATTTTTCCTCTCGCTGCCACCGTGGAATTGGGTCAGCAGAGGGTGACACAGGGGTGGCGTATGGCGCTGGTTCAGATGTGTTCTCACTCATTGTTGGTGAGCACGCTGTGTTGTTGGTGTGTGTGTGTGCTCACTCATTGTGCTGCAGCATGTGCTGGCAAAGGCTGTGTGCTCTATGAGTGCAGAGTGTGTTCTGACGTGTACCATGGGAGATGGTGCTTCACAGTAATTACCATCTCTCACCTTCCATCGCCCATTTCCCATTGCTCATCTCCTATCTCCCAACCTCATCGCCCATCGCCCATCGCCCATCTCCCATGTCTCAACCCCTATAACCTATTCATGTGCTCAGGGCGTGGTGGCCAAGGATGTGTTCATGGTGTCGTACCGTATCATGGGGGCCCACTGGATGATGACGCGAGCACGGTGAGATGGAACGAGCACGGTGAGATGGAACGAGCACGGTGAGATGGAACGAGCACGTTGAGATGGAACGGGCACGGTGAGATGGAACGGGCACGGTGAGATGAAACAGGCACTTCCCCCTCCTCGTCAACCCCTCCGACCACCCATGTCATATCCCTTTCAATCAACCCGTGGCTCCCACCCTTTCTCTTCTCTATCTTCTCTCCCATTCCCCCCCCTTTCCAATGCCCCTCTCAGCTCACACTGCGCCCACGGTGAGATGAAACGACCACGGTGAGATGGAGCGACCACGGTCAGTTGCGTGCGTATCCACCTGCACACATCGATGCCGTACCCCGCCTTATCAGTCCGTTGCTCTCATTATCATTCCGTTACCCATGCTTTGTTTTCTTCACTCCTCATGCTCACGCTCCCCCACTCCCCTCCCATGCGGCTCCCAGCTCACGCACAACGCCCTCAACTACCCTCTCGCGGCCAGACATTGAAGCACAGAAGAGCTATTAGTGTCCTGAGGCACCTTATAACGAGGCAGAGAGCTTCCAGTGTCTGGAGACACCTTATGAATAGGCCGAGGGCTAGTGTTTTGAGGTACTTAATAACAAGGCAGAGAGCTACAAGATGCCAGGAGCAGCCCCAAGCACTGGATGTTTCTGATGCTTTTCTCTGATTGACACTGGATATACCCCAGCTTGTCTTCCTCACAGCTGTGTAGTCTGTTGTGCATCCATTCATATTGAGAAAGCTTGCTTTCTTAATTTTATCAATTGGCATCGTTCTCATTACAACTGGCTTATTACAACATTTGCATCGAGATTGAACACAAGCTAGTGCATGCTAATATCACTAGCTAAGATGTACCCTATCCAAGTGGCATTAGCAAGGCGTTCTACGCTGGGGTGGGTGGTGGGGATGTTGAGTGAGCCGTTTGAAATAGAGAAACGTGGGTGGAGGGAAATGAGCTCCAACCCACGGTTTTTGTAGTTGGAGAAGGGCGTTTAGCGCGCTTCGACGATGCCAATTGTGCAGTACAAGCATCTTCGCTTTCACAATACACAATTTAAAAAAAACACAATGTGTGTTTAAAAATTATAATATTGAGAAAGCTTGCTTTCTTATTTTTATCAATTGGCATCGTTCTCATTACAACTGGGGTCTCTGAGACATGGGCAGCGGGGGCCTCCTATGGCGTACGAGCGCCTCTGTGTGTTGCGCCGAAGACACCACCTGCGTCGGATCTTGCAGGTTGCGGGATGCTGTGATGAGAGGCTCGACGTATGGCGTGACGTACATTTCCTTAGCTGTGTCGCTTCGCCATCTGCCCAGCCGTTTGAAGACTCTGTCTGGCACTCCGGTGTTGGCTGCTACTGTGGCCGCGCCTTTTCGGAAAGAGTGAGTGCCGAGCTGCAGCTCTCCCAGACCAACTTTTGCGAAAGCTTCCTTACACCAGTTCCGAATTGTAGTGTATGAAGGCGGCTTCGCTTGGCCTTTGCTGCTTGAAGCGTGCCCGAAGACACGAATCAACGGTCCCTCTGACTGAGGACCATAGCCGGCGAGTTGGATGAAGCGTCGGGTGCAGCGCACTGGGCAACAAGGGTCTGTCGTTGCTGCAATGGGTATCCATGTTCCGTGACCGGCCTGATCGGTCTTAGAGTGTGGTATGAGGATCCACATGACCTCTTCGTCGAATTGGATGTCTTGCCATTGTATGGCCACTAGGTCGGAGTATCGCAGAAATCCTGAGTACATGAGGATGGGGATCAGCCCTTTCTGAAATTCTGCAGGGTCGTCAGACTGCAGGTAACTCCCGGCCATGTCGCGGACTTGTTGGATCGATACGGGTTCCTTCAGACGAGTAGGGCGGGGGCAGTGTCGTTTTGCACAGTCGCGGACTTGGGTGGTAAACGGACCGATTGTTGGGCATTTGTTCCCAGTCATGCGATGGGCGAAGCTTACTGCCGAGCACGTCAGCTGCACTACGGACAGGGTGGCTTTGCGTCGGATTGCGTGAACCAGGTATAGTGCGAGTGTCATGTCGGAAGCTGGAAGAAAGGAGAGATCCACTTTTGTGCAAAATGCTCGAAACTTGGCCCAGTATGGTTCGTATGTCCGGATCGTAGAATCGGCGCGTGACTGCGCGAGCATTTTGATCAGTTGGTCGTGTAACTTTGGGAGCAAATCTGAACACAGGAGTGGACAATATGCATTAGTCAAATACCACTCGCAGTGCAATGATTGGGCTATGCGGTAGTCCCGTGCCCGAGAAGGCAGTAGAATGGGACCCTGTATCTAGGCATTGGCTTCCGTGTGTGAGAGGGATGTGCGCGTGGATGTGTGGAGCCCAAGTACATAGGGAGGGTTGCAAAAGTGGCCACCAACTTGCGCCTGGCCAGTGCGGGACTATTAATGTGAGTGATGCATGGGTGCGTTGTGCATGGTGGAGGACGGCTGGGACCAGTTGGGGTGGGGGGAAGGCGAAGTTGTTTTCGGCTGTCCATGCGATCGAGAACGCATCAACTGCGATGGCTTCCGGGTGGGGGATCTTGGTGCAAAAGCGCGAGAGTTGGGTGTTGTGAGAGTTTGCAAAGAGGTCGATGGAATGCGGACCCCAACGACGTTCTAAGATGCGAAACCACGGCTTCTTCAACGCGTAGTCGTCGTGGTCGACCATTTTTAAAAAGCTCGTCAGCATGTGAGTTGAGCTCTCGCAGGATCCATTCAATGATCAAGCGCGTGCCGAGCCCCATGCATGTTCGGATGATGCTTTTGCAAGCCATTGTGAGGTCAGAGCTGTGAGAGCCGCCTTTGCGAAGGATGAAGAATACGCCCTGGTTGTCCACCCGCACGAGAACGTGTTTTTGCTTGATCTTGTTGGCGTACGTTTGGAGCGCCCAAAGGACACCTTCGATCTCCCGCCGCATGCTGGACGTTGCCTGTAGTGGCTCTGACATGGTTGCGCTCGCTTCTTCGAGGCCACCCGGAAATGTAGTTAGAGTGGCGCCCCAACCATGAGAGCTGGCATCCACATGAATTACCGCATCGTAGCTGTTCCGGACGTGGAAAGGTGCACCGTTGAACCGGTCGAACTCCTCAAGCCAAAAGTGTAGCTCCTCTGCTGCGGCTGGGGGGATGACCACGTTGCTTTTCCATGACGGTGCGTCGTTGATTACTTGTAACATGGCGTGGCTGAATGCGCGAGCGGTCGCGCCAAGTGCGACCCCCATTGATGCGAGCATGCCTGTGATTCTGGCCACGTGGCGGACCGGGACTGGTCGGCATGCCTTGCTTGCGCTCAGGAGGTTTTGGATGGTTGCATGTAGTGAGGCTCGTCGGTCGGGACCGATGGAGAATCGACCGGTATCGGTTTCCAGCTCTACACCCAAAAATCGTAGGCGTTGCGATGGTGACAGCTGTGATTTCTTCGCGTTTATCACGAGTCCTGCCTCTTTAAGGTCCAATATCACACGCTGGCAGATCGCTTGCGCATGGTCTTTCGACTGACAGAGGAATAAGATGTCGTCCACGTAAGGGATGACTCGGATGCCTTGTTCTCGCCAGCGCCGAGCCAGTTGCTTGATGAGCTGCGTGAAGACGAATGGAGCTGTCGCGAGGCCAAATGGCAGTGAACGAAATGCGTACGTGCGCCTCCCAAATTCGAAGCCGAGGAACTTCCAGCATGATGGGTGGATGTCGATGTGGTGGTAACCGGATTTAAGGTCAATGGAGAACATCCAATCCCCAACGCGTGCCAGGTCCGCCACGCGGTTGAGCCCCTCGTACTTGAACTTGGGGACGATTAAGCTTGCGTTGACTTTCCGCAGATCAAGAATGAGTCTGCATTTGTCTTTTTGCTCGACCACATTGAGTGGACTTATACACGTCAGCTCCGTTGCGGGCATCTGGACTGCTGCTCCGGTCTCTAGGAGTTCTTGGATAGCGGTACGCGTGAACGTAGCATGCGTGTTTGCCCCGACATGGTTGCGATCGTGGAAGGGTTGTGGTGGGCCGTGGCTCCATGGTAGCCAATAACCCCTGGCGATGACGGAAAGGACGAGGCTGCAGGGACACCAGGAGCTCCACCACGCAAAGGTCGCACGAAGCCGACCGCGCATTTGTGTAATGGTTTTGTCCGTGACGGCAAATTCATACGGATCGTCGTAACATACCGCCTCGCACTGTCGTGCTCCTGTAATTGAGGCAAATGGGGTAGGGTTGGGAGTTCCATTTGACGCATGCATGTGCGTGTGCATGTACGCGCAATCGTTGATCAATGGTGTGAATGAGATTGCCTATCTATCAAAAGGACAACAAATATGTCGTGCGCGCGCCGACGCTTCTTCTTCTTCTTCTTCTTCTTCTTCTTCTTCTTCTTGGTTTTTTTTTTTTTTTTTTTGCTCCATGGGCACCCTGATTATGGTAGGCAAGTAGGTGTCACTCTCTGGACCCCCTCCTCTTTTTTTTTTTTTTTTTTTTTTTTTTTTTTTTGTCTCATCTAGCACCGTGGCTAGCCCTTTTTCCGATACATCACATCGCGCTTTTTTTTTTTTTTTTTTTTTTTTTTTGCTCGCCTTGTCATCCACTTGGTAAGACGTGGTTGTGCATGCCTTTAGTGCATGTGGGCTGGTGCTTTGAACCATGGACATGCGTGTCCACCGTGCTTTGTCTTGTTCTCTCTCTCTCTCTCTCTCTCTCTCTCTCTCTCTCTCTCTCTCTCTCTCTCTCTCTCTCTCTCTCTCTCTCTTCCTCTCTCTCTCTCATGCTCTGCACCTCCTCTGTGTGTCTAGAGGCTCTTTGCAAAATAGTAAATCAAGGAACTTTTTATTAAATCAACCAACACACATTGCAATGCTTCCTAGCATTCATCACCCCACCGGGTGGCCAAATACATGGGACCGAGGGGTTGTTGTTCCCCTTCCCTATCCTAGGCCCAAAGCCTATTACTACCCTTCACTAGGGCTGGCCTCTTGCCATCGCAAACCCCTAGGGCTGCCCACGGTTTCCGCACTCAAGAGTGCACCGTGCCTAGCGCCCAAGGCGCCTAATCCCTTGGCCCGCTCCTACACCACCGGAGCGGGTCCTTGGCCGCCATGCCCGTTCCTAGGGCAGGCACTTGCCACATGTCCCGGCTGGCCGCAGCGGAAGCACGAGCCCCGAAACCCACGACAATTGGCCATGGGCGGGGGGGCCCGCTTGGGTAAGAACGGCATCGGCCCGTTGTTTCCGCCGCGGGTGACACGAGCGTATGCACTTGCCGCGCGGTCCATTGCAGCCATATCCGCGACCGCCTGCTTGAAGGGTCGAGAGGTCAGCAGGCTCTTCTGCTGGTACAGTTTGAAGCGTTTCGCCGTGCGGAAGTCGGAAGCGTCCTCCACTTGAAGCACCTCGAAACGCCCCGAGATGAGGTTGAGCGCGTGTGAGATGAGTTCGATTCCGCCCGCCGAGTCGCCTCGCTGCGCCTTGTATTCCGCGTGCAGCAGGTACGCACGCAAGTCCTCCAGCAGCTCCGC